AAGTGGGTAGCACACAGGATTGTGGGAAAGTCTGGAGAACCAGATTTGAAAATTGGCAATAATAAAAGAAAGCTATGTGGCCAGAATCACAAACAAAATCACTCCTTGATCAAGTGAGAACACCATTGCTAGTGCCACTGCAGAACACTGACTCACGGGCCACCACTAACCAGAAATCTGATGCCATGGTTAAGATGCTACTTAAACTGGATGACTCTATCTCTACTCTCTTCCCTGTTTCATACCAAGTAGTATTCCCCTGAAGTCTGCTCACTCTGTCTACGTTAAAATTTCAGGCAGATGATTGTAGTTAGCTTGAAGTAGTTCATATGCCTGTGCTCTAGCTGTTATGAGATAGAAAAGTAATTATTTGACATTTTAGTTCATCATGGAGGGAGAACTTTAACTCCCACCAAGTCACATAAGGTTGGGAGTTTCCTAAACAGAGGAAAAGAGCTCAAATACCTATAGTACTACATTTGCAGTGACAAAATTTCACTATCGAAATCTTTTTGCCCTTACTCCCTCTGCTCACCATAACCACAAAGGCCAAATGAATTTTGAATGAGTTATAATTCTAATTAAATAATTTAAAGTATTCTTATATTTTTAAAAATCAAAATGCAAAGAAAGGTAATGTTGAAGGGTATTGAGAATGCACTTGTTTGGGGGACTCTTGTAGAACTAATCTATAAGGAACATAAATGGCAGAGGCTGATAGAGGAGAGCCTATGTTTGATCTGTGAAGTCTAACAATCAAGACATAAATAGTAACTTGATGGTAGATGAAAGAGGAAGAATCAATGACTAGTAAACTCTGATACCACTGTTGATAAATGGTGTTTATAGATAATGGGAGCTGTGGGAAAGGGTAAATGAAAAACTAGATCAGGTAACAGTGGAGAAGCACTTAGAATTAGTTCTTAGTGTTGGAAGGCAATACAAATATAGTAGTCAGTATGTAAAAATGTTTTGTTTTTAGGTTTGGGTATATCAAACAAAATGTAGTATCTAGTAAAGTTTAGCTATGAAATAGGCAAAATAATTCTTGAAGCTTAAGTTTTACTGTATTTATTAGTCAAATAAGCCAGGTCATTGTTAAATAAACTTTCTTTGTAAGTTAGCATAAATATTCCTTGACTTTTAAAGACAAATATGTATTTTATAGATATCCCTAACCCTGAAACAATATAAAAGTTTATTTAGCAATGCTTTCTAGCATGTATCAAAGATATGTTCTTTTTTTTTGGCAGTACTGGGGTTTGAACTCAGAGCTTAGTGTTCTACCACTTGAGCAATACCCCCAGCCCCAAGGGTATGTCTTGAAAAGTGATTGTTTTTAGAATTTCCTAGGTAAAATACTGTAGTATCTTAATGATTGAAATTATCCCAAAAAAAGTTATAGCTTTCTTCTCATATTCCAAGTCTCATGTTAGCACCTGGGGTTCAAAGATAAGTAAATTACAGATAAGCAAGAAGTTCACAGTCTAAGGGTTTCTAAAAGAATATGGCAAATGTTATAGCATGTATTTGCAGAAAATTAATGAAGATGGACTCAGAGCTTCACATAAGAAGGAAGGCTTCTTGGAAAAGGAGTGTCTGAGTTCACTCTAAATCACTTCACTGAAATTCTCAAGCTTTGAGAACAATTAGACAGTTGTCCCACTTAAATTAAAAGAAAAAAATAGGAGAATGAAACTGAATAAATCAGTTTGAGATGCCCAAACTTATTTCTTTAGCATGACTATCTGAAAATTTCAAATTGTTTAAAAACACAAGTAATAATTATAGTTAATATAATTAGCACGAGTACTTTGTTCCAAAATTTTCCTACATTGACATTTTCAAATGTCAGTGGATTTTCCTTTGACTTTATTCATTTATCATACAACTATTTATAACCACCACTAGCACTTACTTAACCTCTTTTTTCTTTTCCTGGTAGGGTTAACTGAAACAAGGGAAGCTTAGTACAGGGCCTGGAACACAGTAGAGTTCAACAAGTGATAGCTCCCTCTCCTGTCCAGTGTGTCCTTTACAGCGTCGTTGTAGTCAATGATGCTCTAGAAGTTTCTGAACTAACCACATAGCTAATCACCAATACCTACTACGAAACCTTTAGCGTTTTTCCTCTTTCCCTAGCTTCCTCACCCTCCACTCTCTTTGTTCTTAGTGGCAAAACTCAGTAGCGATAAAATAAGGTTTTATTATATCAGATTGTTTTAAATCACATAAGAATGATTCGTGAAGTTTCTGCTAGTCCAACTGCAAATAGAAGTATAAGACTTTTAACCCCACAACTACAGAAAAGACACAATAATGTTCCAAATCCCAGAGCTGGTAAAGGCAATAATGTAGATACAGTACATGAACAACAGATGGCAGCACTTAAACATCAAGCCCTCTTTTTTCTTAGTGGCAAAACTCAGTAATCATATTTTACTTCTATCAGGTTTTTTTAAATCACATAAGAAGTTTCTGCTAATCAAACTACAAATACAAGTATCAAGATTTTTAATCCCACAAGTACCAAGAAGACAATAACATTTCAAATCCCAGAGCTGTAAAGGCAATAAATGTAGATATAGTACACAGACAACAGATGGCAGCACTTGAACATCAAAGCCCTCTCCATTTCCATGTTCTGCTTTGACTTGCAGAATTGCAAAACTCCAATCAAGGCAAGCTAAAGATTGTATTAGGGCACCTTATGAGCATTTTAAATGGTCACTAAAATGGCAAGCAAATAGGATGTAGCAGCTGCTACATAGTATGGCATTGAGAAGCGACAATATATGAAACTTGTGAGTCACAGATGGTATGACTTGTTGGATCTTTAAAGGTTCTAACAGAAATGGAGCTGGGTTCTATAATTCTGAAAATAGGGGTATTCACCAACCATCAGAGCATTGGACACATAAACACTTAAAATATAGCTCAACAGCACCCACGGGATAGATTACACAATTGATATTTTTAAAAAAGAAATGTTATATTCAAGTATGGCCCATATAAACTAAAGAGTTTTAAGTAATAGAAAACGAATACTACACTTGCTTTTTCTTAATATTTCTTATACATTAATAATTTGTATATGGCTTATAACTGGGAAGAATTTTTTTGGAAAAAAGTTTCAGAATTGACTTGGCAATTTATTACACTGGAAACTTATACAAGAAGAAATGGATTCCCTCATTTTTCTGAATCTCATTGTTAACAGCAAAGAGTTTGGAGAAAAAGACACCTAGATTGAAATCCTAGCTCAGTAGCTCTTTAGCTGTGTGGCCTTACCAAGATACTTAAGATCTCTATGATTCATCTATTTTTAAAAAGTTACTATAACATCCTTCCAGGATTTTGTGAGGATCAAAGAAATAAAGCAAATAGCACAATGCCTAGCACAGAGTAAGTACTTAATAACTGAAAGTTACTATTACTGTGGGTCTATGTATCCCCCACTCCCCTTCCCCACTAATTTTTAATTTATTCCCAGTTCCTGCAAATGTATTGCTAACCATATTAATTGTAGAAAAAGTGGTTGGGAGTTTGCTAGTTGTAGCAATGTTCTTGTAAGTATTACAGATAAAAATGCAGTTAATCTTGAAAGGCAATGGTACTGTCATATTGTTATGTACCAAGACCTGTGTGAAGGTCCCTATTTAAGTTCAAGGTAAGGATTTTATGGGTAGTTTTGCTTATCTAAGTTTGCTGAAGCCAAAGGAGTTTACTGTTTGGTGCTAACCAGCTTGCTGAAGCACGCAGAGTGCAAACTAAATCTGTGACTTATTGACATTGTGTTCGAAATCTGTGACTTCTTCTTCTTATTGACCTTGTGTTCGTTGTTGAGGGGCACACAGTGAAGGTTTTTGTTGGTGATTAATTAGAAGGGTCTGAACCAAGAACTAATCACAGAATATTCTGTACTCAATCCCCAAATTCTTCCTTAGGCAACGCAGAAGAGACAGTTCCTCCCAGCCCACTCTAATCAGACTGGTCTCTCTTTCCTTTTCCAGGACTATTTTTGGACTAGAAAGAGGGGTTTAGAGGGGGTAGGTGGAATGTAAACAGAGCAGTGCTGAATGCTTCCAAATGCATATCAAATTAAAAGGCTGTAGTTGTGAGAGTTAGCCTTAGTAGGCTATGAGCTCAGCTTGAGTTAGTGTCCTCCTATCTCATTAGTTTTTGTCCTCAGTACCCCAACTGTGGCCTGCATTCAATATATTTATGAATATATGAAACATATAATTTCGTTTTTCAGAAATGTCACATGCAGGGACGATTACTAGTTTTCTAAATAATCACATCATTTGAGGTGTAATGTATGACCTAGAATGTAGTAAAGTGAACATGTGCCAAGCACTGACACTAAGCATTCTATCTTACTGCTGAGTAGTAAATTTTGGAGACTAGGCTTCCAGGTCAAACAATACAAGACTAATGTAGGGAGACTAGCATGTGACAGGCTGTAAAACTTGAACCCAGGCCTGTCCGACTGTTAATGACAAGAGGGTAGGTATTCTATTAACTCAGCAAAACCTGGTCAATAGCTCCGACGGGCCCCGGATTTTAGGGTCTAGTTTACAAGAACAGCCAGTATATCCAGCCACCCCACCCAAAAGCAGGAACTGGAATGGAAAAGGTAAAACGTGGCTATTGCGCACGCTCACACCGCTCTCTGCGCTCCCATCCCTGCCCTTGGAAGCGACTGCGGCAACTTCCCCGAACGACTTTGGAAAGGCTCCCGCCCAGTGTGAAATCAAACTGGCGTAAGCCGTTCTCTTCTGCGACGTGGACATCCTTGTCCTCCTCGGGCCTTTCCAACTTGGAATCAGGCACCACGAGCCTCCGTTTCTCAGGGATTCGAGCAAGGACTTGCCAGATTTCAATATGGCCGCCGACAGGCTGTTCCCAAGCGGAGGCCTTTCATAGGCCAAGGTCGCATCCGGGTCCCGCCCATTTCCTCCCCGAGGGCCGCGTCCGCCCATCTCTTCGCTACGCATGCGCAGCAGAGGCCGGCCGGGAGGTGGGATTGCCGCGGTCTTCCGTCTGCGGTCGCCGTCGCCTCAGCCTTGCTGCTCCTGTCTGTCTGGGGCTGCATTGCCGGCGTTGGTGGCGCGAGGGGAGGGGGGGACTGACGGACCGTGTGTGTGCGCGCGCGGGGGTCCCGGCAGTCCCAGCAGTTCCCCTCACGCGGGGTGGGTGGCGAGGGTCCGCTGCAGTCTGGGGGAGGCCTTAGACGGCGCCATGTCAGCGGGCGGCCCATGCCCGGCAGGAGCCGGAGGGGGCCCCGGGGGCGCCTCCTGCGCTGTGGGGGTCTCCCCCGGCGGGGTATCCATGTTCCGGTGGCTGGAGGTGCTGGAGAAGGAATTCGACAAGGCCTTCGTGGATGTGGATCTGCTACTAGGCGAGATCGATCCTGACCAGGCGGACATCACTTATGAGGGACGACAGAAAATGACCAGCCTAAGCTCCTGCTTTGCGCAGCTTTGCCACAAAGCCCAGACTGTGTCCCAAATCAACCACAAGCTGGAGGTGAGTCTGGGGACTGGCAGCGGTGGCATTGAACCCGAGGCTGCCGGAGAGCGTTAGATCCTATTTAACGCACTAGGGGAAAGACCCTAGAAAACTGCCCGCTGGGACCCCAGAGCTTGGGAATATGATGGGAGAGCGCGTCTGTATGTGTGTGAAGAAAGGAAGCAGGTGAGGGTGGGGGAGAAAAAGGATGGAGAGCGACGTGTGGGTCTCCCGGGGTTCTGTCATCCACCTTCCCATCATCTCACCGAGGAGGGGGCTGGAGCTGGTGGCACTAGCCTCCCTTGTAAGGGGTTGCATTAACAAATCTAAGGAAGGTTTGCTGTCAGGAGAATACCTTATCCCGCCTTCTGACACGTGAGTTTCGCAGATGCTACTTTCACGGTGAGAAACCAGAATGGTGTATTTTCGCAGAGATGGCAGCGCTGATTTTTTTTTTTTTCATTTTAGCTATCTCAAATCAACATCTGTGGCAGCACACAGAGAAACATGCATGAACTATTTAGGGGAATCTGATCAAAGCTCTTAGGAAATTGTGGTGGAATATATACAACAGTATCGTTGTCTTTCTCGGTTTACATCCACAATTGGTCCTTAAATTTCAGGCATATGTCTCCAGAGCGCCCTGTAATTTAAATAACTTCCAACATTGGGATTTATGTGTTTGTACTTTCCTGTATTTCTCATTCTGGCTTTATTTTGGGGAGTGTGCAAAGGACCATCATTTGCTTTAGTCTCTAATCCTGGGTGGGGGTGCAGTGGTGATGATTTCAAAATAAATATTTAAAAACCTACCACATCGTGTGGAAAAATAAATTAGGGCATATTTAAAATCTTGATAGATTAACATTATTACATAAAGAGCACTTTCTAAGCAAGCAGTTAAATAAGAAAATGAGCATTTCATTTTAAAGAAGGTAAAAATGGAATAATTAGTGATGTAGGAAGCTCTTTGAGCCTTATCTTTCCTAAGAAGTCATCATTGCTACTATTGATAATGAGAGTGTCCATTGTATCCAAATTAATTTGTATGTCAGCTATCCTTCCTGTCCTTGCTTAGAGTCAGTGTTCTTTCTCTTTCCCATTAGTTAACCATGAAAAGTAGTAAATTAATCTTTGATTAGCATAGATTTACATATCCAGGATTTCATGGCTCTTCTCCACTGAGAGTAGTATTAATTTATGCCATCCTTTTTAAAATGGTTCAGATGAAAGTGCTGATAATCACTTAGAGTAGGTAAGTGAAAATGTCTTGATTTCTTGATTACTGGTAATTTTTAGAAGATAGCTGATTTTTCAGGTACTGAAATTGCATTTGATGGTTTTTAGAATACTACTTTAGCTTTAAAAAACAGAGATCAAGAGTAGCTTTTACCACATGAGAACTTTCATATCATTTACAGCTTTAAGTATCTACTTGAGATAGTTTTTTTTTAAATGAAACAGCTTCTAATTTGTTTTTTAAATGACTTAAAAAACTGAACAGTGATGATTTTGATGTCTGATATAAAATCTAATTTCAAAGAAAGGCTCATTCTGTAAGAGATGGTGCTCAATTTTTTTTGTCTTTACATATTTTAGATGAGTAGTCATCTAAATAATAGATTATGAATGCAATAAATTATGCATGTTCTTATTTTCAGAAATTATAATTATGTATTCTGACCCTATAATCTCACTTAGGAAATACCATTATTTCTCAAAATAAGAAATGGCTAGCATATCATAATATGAACATGTTTTTCAGAATCTTTACATGTATAATGTCTTCTCTAGTTTTCACCGAATCAGAATCAGTGTGTATTGCTGTGGGAAGACTTGTCTGCAGTGCCTTTCCAAGTAAAATTGCTGGTATACCATCTGCAGAATTTCAGTTGTTGCTCCATAACTGTTATCAATCTTCTGAGATCTTGAAATCTTAAAAAAAGATTTCTATAATAAAAATATTTTTATATTATTAAGACACAGATACCTCCAGTGTGGGTAATTTGTAATATATTTAAATTGGTCTTGGATAGCCTTCCAGATTACCATTTCTTCCCATCCATGTGTTTTTAGGTAATACGGTACTTCATGTTAATCTAGTAATTAGAAAAATTACTAGATTACTTTTGCTGTAAAAAATTAATCATGGAGCCAGACACCTGTGGCACATGCCTGTCATTGGGAAGATGGAGGTTCCAGTTTGCCATATAACTTCTCAATGAAAAAAAAAACTGGATGTGGTGACATGCACTTGTCATCCCAGTGATGGCGGGAAGCTTAAAATAGAAGGAGTGAAGCAAGCCTGGGCAAAAGTGAGACCCAATTTCCAAAATAATCAGAGCAAAAAGGGCTCAAGTACATCGCTCTCAAGCACCTGCCTAGCAAGGTGAAGTCCTAAGTTCAAATCCAATACCACAAAAAAAAAAAAAAAAAAACATGGATTATAGTTTTAAATTAAATGTGAATGACATCCATGTGACTGCTTTTTGCATAAGTTATGTTTGGGATGAGACATGTCTATACAGGCAGAGAATATCAGACTATTTTGACATGGTACCATTTCAATTTACTCACATCTGTCTCTTAAATTTCCACTTGCTAGAGAATTTCTGCTGTGGTGAGCCACTTGGTGATGGCCAATCTATAGTCACAGGCACTGATTAGGAAAGTAGTAGTAACAATAGTAGTGATAGCTATAGAAGATGTGTTGGAGTAGAACAAAGGCCATGAACCAATACTTTAGATAAATTCATCTCTGTATCTTTATTTTTTTTTTTGTGGTACTGGGATTTGAACTCAGGGCCTACACTGTGAGTCACTCCACTAGTCCTTTTTTGTGAAGGGATCTCTGCTTCCTGAGTAAGCTAGGATTACAAGCATGAGCCACAGGTGCCCAGCTTTACCTCTATGTCTTAGAATACCAATGAATGCTCACTCCTTTAAAATAACAACAAACCAATACAATTCTATTATAACCTTCTTCCCCTCCACAGTTGCTGAATTAGTATCTCTTTAAAGTGATTAACTGCAGAACTGTCAGTATAGAAACGTTTAACTTTGGTTGGGAGCCACATTGATAAAGGAACTGATGATACATTTTCCTTCATGCTGCTTTAAATCTATAATGTTTTTAAATAAGCATTTTTGGAACATTGAAGTCAAAACATACGATTGATCTAGTATATATGAATTGAATACTGATTATGTGCCAGATGTTGTATTGGGGACTGGGGGTAGAATGGGTAGATACCAAAAGGGATGTAGTCATTGCTATTATGAAGCTTGGATTCATTAAGTAATTTGGATTATATACCTTGGAGCTCAGGGGAGTTTGTTGGGGGAATAATGTTTTAAATGAAAATTATAACTTTGATAGTGCTGTAAAAGGTACATAGAGTAATAAGAGTTTATTCTAGAGTGTCAAGGAAGGAAAGGTCCCTGAAAATTAAAGTTGACTTAAGACATAAAGGAATGAGGAGGAATTAATTGCGCTAAAAGAAATAGTAATATCATTCTATATTACAGTAGAGGGACGAGGAAGTAGAAAGCACCAGTGGTAGGCAAGAGCATAATGCATTTGAAGATCTACCAGGGAGTTGGTAAGTGGTTGGTTGGTTGTTTTTGCTGTACTCCTTGCTAGGCAGACACTCTACCACCTGAGCCACTCCACCAGCCCTTTTTTGTGTTGTTATTGAGACAGTGTCTTGCTTTATTCCCAGGCTAGCCTCAACTTCTCTCCTATTTGTGCTTCCCAGCATGGTTGGGATGACAGGTGTGTGCCACCATGCCCAGCCATTTGTTGAGATGGAGTCTCCTGGACTTTTTGCTCAGGCTGGCCTCAAACTGAGAGTGTTGTGATCTCTGCCTTCCCAATAGCTAGGATTACAGACTCGAGCCACCACACCTGGTGCTTGATCAGTGTTTTGAGAGAAGGCGAAAAAATAAGATGCAAGATATGTTTGAACTGGTTTCTATGGGCCTGGTATTATAGCCTATGCCATAGATTCAGGACTTTGTCATAACAATGGTAAATGTTCTTATTATCCATGTGAGATGATTATAATGTGGGGTAAGATACTGGAGAAATGGAGGAAAGTGTTCAAAACAAGAGAGACTTGAGAGGGGGGAAAATCAACAAAGTCTGGGGATAGATTGGAGTAGAAGGATGAGGGAATTCACAGTGACTCCATTAGATCAGTCTTGTGAAGCTAGTAGTCTGGATAGATATATATGAGATACTGTTAGCAATAATGGTATCGCTAACCTTATTCGTCAATTACTGTGGGTCAGGCTGTCAGGCTCTAGCCTAAGTTTTTTTTTTTTAACATCTGTTTTTCATCTAATACTTGTAACAGCCATGTGAGATAGGTTTATGGTTATTCCCATATTATAGGGATTAAGTAAGGAACCTAAGACTACAGAATAGCAAAATCAATCTCTGAACAAACATTTATGTTTGGTGGGGGACTCAGGAGGCAGAAAGAGTGAGTGTGGCTGGATAGATAAATTTAAAGGAAGAGTGTGGGGTTCCAGGGAAGTATTCTTTTATTTTGCTTTTAAATGAAAAAAAAAAAACAAAAACAAAACTTGAACATGTTTATAGTCAGTAAAACATCTAGTTTGAGGGAAAAGCTGAATATTATAGAAAATAAGAGGGATAATTAATATTAGAAAGATTCTAAGTAGAAATGAGAGACAAAGTACAGGTAGAAAGAATGGCCTTACATTGAAAGAAGGACAACTGTTACACTTAGAGGGAAGTGAGAGATGATGAGAACAGTGGGGGAGTTTGGGGGAGTTTTGTGTGATTTCCCATCCCCCACCCCCATTTAAAATAGGAGCCCAGGTCAAATGCTGAAAGTGAGTGAGAGTAAGCACTTCAGGAGATTGGGAATTCCAGTTATCCAGAGAAATAGACAGACTGCCAGGCAATGTTGAAACCTACTTGTAGTTAGTTATCATAAATTCTTGGTGCAGCCAGTCTGCTCTGTGGTATGACATCTTCCAGCAATACC